TCCCACGCCTCCTGCTGCAGCCCTCCAGGCTCCCACGCCTCCTGCTGTAGCCCTCCAGGCTCCCACGCCGTCTGCTGCAGCCCTCCAGGCTCCCACGCCGTCTGCTGCAGCCCTCCAGGCTCCCACGTTGCAAGCAGTGTTCCCTCGGGCCCTGTGTTTTGGACGGTCTCCCGGCCGCCCCCCTGACCTGGCCCGGTCTGATGGACAGCCTCCCGGCCGCCCGCCGGAACAGTGTCTCTTAGGGACGGTCCCTTGACCGTCCATATTCCTTGTGTCTCCTTGTTCTCTCTGGCTCCTAGTGTTTTCTCTAGCTCCTAGTGTTTTGTTTTTCTCTGGCTCCTAGTGTTTTGTTTTTCTCTGGCTCCTCGTGTCTTGTTTTTCTCCTTGGCTCCTCGTGTCCTTTTGCTCCTCGTGTCCTTGGCTCCTCGTGTCTTGTTTTTCTCCTCGTGTCCTTGGCTCCTCGTGTCTTGTTTTTCTCCTCGTGTCCTTTTGCTCCTCGTTTTCTTGTTCCTTGTTCTCTTTGGCTCCTCGTGTCTCGTTCTTTGGAAATCCTCTTGCCCCTTTTTCTCCGTGTCTCCTCGTGTCCTTTTCTCTGGCTCCTCGTTTTCTGGCTCCTCGTGTCCTTTTTCTCCTCGTTTTCTGGTTCCTCGTGTCCTCGCTCTCTGTGGCTCCTCGTGTCCTTTCTCTCTGGTTCCTCGTGTCCTTTCTCTGGTCCTCGTGTTTTCCTCGGGCCCTCCACCCTTGCAGTGCCACCCTCCACCCACCCTAGTCCTTCGGGAGGGGGGTCTTTTGGGGACGCCTGGAGGCGTCCTTGGGGGTGGGGGGTGTGTACTGTAAGGATGTTACTTTTCTGTGGCCCGGTGTGTCTGTTTCCCTCGTGCTCCTCGTTAGTTTCCATTGTTGCCACCTGTGTCTCGTCCCAGCTGTTTGTTATCATGTCTCGTCTTCTCCTTGTATTTAAGTCACCCTATTCTGTCTTGTCCTTTGTCGGGTTGTCTTCGTTGGGTACGCTTCTTTGAGTCTCCTGAGTCTCTCCTTGTCTTCCTGGTTCCTCGAGTTCCCCGTGTCTCCTGAGTTCCCCGTGCCTCCCTCCTTGTTTATGTAAGTTTTGCTGCCCCGTCAGCTTGTTTATTTTGTACTTTTCATTTATCATTAAAAACTTATTTTTGTATATCTGCCGAGTTGAGTCCCTGTTCTGCACTCTGGGTTCGCTCCGACCACAAATCCTAACACATACTGACCCTTTTATTTTTATCAGCCTGCCCTGACAACTTGTGAGACTGCAGTGCCATATTCAGTTCACCCATAGGCCAGGAAGGTTTACCAAAATATCCCTGACGTTCATCTGCGTGACACGACACAGTTAACATCAATCAATCAGTGCCTAGTACCTACCAGTAATAGTGCCTGAGCCCTTAAAATAATAACTAATAGCCTGATAACTGAAGACCTTATCTGACTGGACAGAAATTTTGTGAGAACCATCAACATCTGAATGCAGAGAGAAAAGGCTCAATTGACTGATTCAAATAGTAAATGTTTGTAATTTCCATGATGAGCATTTTCTGGACTGGAATTGAACATGGAATGCAACTAAACCTGTATGTTTTTGGTGCAAGATAGTCAAGAGTGTCGCAGTTTCACTTTGTCGAAGAACAGAGGGAGTGTTTTTTAGGATTTTTTCATGCTTGTCTGAGGCAGCACAGACTGACGGGTCGAGGTGACTGGAGGGAGTGATTGTATCCACCCCAAACACAATGGTAGAGCCAGGAGGTGGCCTTGGCCTTCATAGATTATCCTTCAGCCACCCCAATCATCTCAGGAAAAAATACCTTAGAAAATACAAAAACTAGAAAAAGCCTAGATGAGGCCAAGCACAGAAATGGAAGTTGACACCTCGCTTATTTTTGAACTTTTCCAGCTCACGACACGGACGGACTTGTATGGTGGTAGCCATCTTGGATTTTGACGTAGCAACCCAGTTTTCATAAGGAACATTACTTATGCCTAGATGTGGCCACACACCAGATAGAAGTCACTACCTTGCATATTTTTCAAGTTATCATGTTCACAACGTGTACAGATGGAAGGTATCTCCACTTCTTTTCGCTCTGCGGCGGAGGACAAATAAGTAGCAACACATTATTAAAACACAACACCTGAGTTTATAGTTCTGTGAAGTTTCTTTTATCAACACACTGTTACCATTTATTTCATTTCTAAAACTGAAAGCAGCAACAGGAAAAAAAGACACAAAAAAAATAGATTTTTATTATTTTTGGTTCTGAGTAAAGTGAAATGAAAAGTATTTGATGTAATCAGTTTATGTTGGGGAATCTCAACCAGCGAGTTTGACAAATTCCTGAGAACTATGTCCAAGTCTTCCTACACATTCTCATTCTACTAGACACAAATTAAACTTTTGTTGGTTAATGTTTGAAATGCTCTTTAAACCCATTTTAGCTGGAATATGCTCACTATCATGTGTCAGAGCAAAGTTCAACACCTGTCTAAGATAAGAAATATTTTCGACTTTGTATCTCTATATATACTTTCTTTTTAGTTCAATTAACTCAAGTTTAACATATATAAAGCTCAGCACACAACACAAAGCTGTCCGAATGTTTTCAATGTAAATAAGAAAATGTAAGTGAATATTTCTTTTTGATTCCTGGTATTAATTCTTTCTAGAATGACTTGTCACAACAGTACAACTCATCAACGTGTGAATAAAACAAGTGCTGAATGAGTAAAAGTTACACTCACCTCCTCTGACAAGAATAAAAACAAAGTAGAATAAAATCCAAACCACTGAAGATGTGACTGTAGCCATGTTGTTGAGCGGCTTCAGTTAATTCAGTTCAGTTTATTTAAAGCACCGATTCACGACACACTTGTCTCAGGGCACTGAACACAATCATTCACACACCGTACATAGAAAAGTCAGTCGTGCTTCACAGGGAGGTGAAGTCGCTCCTCCCACAGTGCAGACCAACAGGCAGAGCCAGTTTATTTTAGTTTTTATCAAAAGTTTCTCAGGCACTGACTGACAAACAACACAACAAACACAAATGACAGAAAAAGTCAAACAGATATTTAATATATGAAAAAAAAAAACACCTTTAATTGATTGAATAACATTTTCTTTGCACTGCATAATTTTCTAAAAAAAATATACAAGTTATGTTACTTAAACTTTATTTGTGACTCCTGCTAATAAAGTTAAAAGTGTCTTTACAACAGACAGAACTTCACAGAAAACGACAGGTTTTTTTTTGTACTCATTAGACTGAACTGTTAGCAAAATGTCTTGTGAATCACTGAACAAACTTTAATGAAATCATTAGTTAGTAAATTCTTTGGAGCCAGCTTGATTCAATATGGCTGCCACATCTAAACTAATCCTGACTCAGTCAAATTTGCAGACACTGAGCTAAAACGTGGTGTGGTAGTAGCTGAGCATCTTTGACTTAAACCATGGCATCAACTGTCGTCTGTTAGCAAAATATCCTGTGGAGCACTGGCCAAATTTGGTCAATTCAAATTTATTTATAAAGCACATTTAAAAACAGCAGCTGTTACCAAAGTGCTCAACAACAAAAATCAAGGGCAATAATTAAAGAAAACAATAATAAAAAAAATAATTAAAAGCATCAAAAGAAAACAGATGAGTTTTTAGGAGAGGTTTAAAAACAGGAAGTGAAGAGACCTGTCTAGTGTGTGTGTGTGTGTGTGTGGGGGGGGGGGGGCAGATTGTTCCAGACTTTAGGGCCAACGACTGAAGAAGCCCGATCTCCTCTGAGCTTCAACCAAAAGCAGCTGGACAGATATCTCAGCACCCGAGAAAGAACGTATGGTTAAAGTAGGTCAGAAAGATAAGAGGGTGCAAGGTCATTTAGACACTTAAAGGTCAACAGGAGAATTTTAAAATCTATTCTGACACGTACAGGGAGCCAGTGAAGGGAGGACAACACTGGTAAAATATGATCAAACCTACGAGTTCCTGTTTAGAGCTGAGCTGCAGCATTTTGGACGAGCTGGAGACGTGAAATGGAGACCTGACTGACCCCAACGTAGAGTGCGTTACAGCTGTCTGTCGTGCTGTAATGAGGCATGGACTAATTTTTCAAGGTCAGATCTGGTCAACACTGACTTAAGCTTAGCTATCTGCCTCAAGTGGAAGAAGCTTTTCTGCAGAACGGAGTTAACATGTTCATTAAATTTAAAATCAGAGTCTAAAACCATTCTGGGATTTGTAACAGACTGCTTAAGACATGGCTCAAGAGAGTCGAGGTTTACAGGAACAGACACAGCTGTAGAGCTACGACTAAACACAATAACTTCAGTTTTCTGATCGTTGAAACTTTAAAAATTTGAAGCCTTCCATGCCTTAATGTCGTCAAGACATTTTAACAGAGGGTGAATGGAGCAGGAAATATTGAGTTTTAATGAGTCAGATAAATCTGACAATCATCAGCATAACAGTGAAAATAAGACCGTGTTTCCTCAGACAGGTAAATAGTTCTACCTGTACCAGGCATCAAGCTAAATGTTGCTGTGGTAGATGCTGAAACTCATTAGCAACCCCTATTCACCTGTACCTGTATGCAACCAGATAATACAAGATTATCTAATTATCAAATGGATGTAATGTTTGATTGAAATAGATACAACTCTATCATTTCTCAACATGAGATGAAATTAGTAGAAACATTTTGAATGAAATGCAGTGGGGATTAAATATTTCTGTTTTCATGATTATGTTTGCTCTCCGACACTATTGATCATAAAATTTTATTACTGACAGGCTTGAACATAATTTTTGGAATGAAAAAAACATCACTTCACAATTATGTTGTCTTTTTGACAGAATTTCTATTTTTTTTTTTTTTACTTATCTCTTTTTCAATTAATTGAGTCATGGAGTTCCTCAAGGTTTTGTTCTTGGCCGAATTTTTTTTAAAGTCACATGCTTCTGTTTTAACACTAAATGAACTTTAATTGTTCCTCAGTTAAACTAACTCATGCTTAAAGCCAAATGTACATGATGAACTAATTCGATTACAAGCATGACTTGTTTCAAACTGAAGTTATACTGTATTTTAGTTACCAATTTGACTATGAATGTGAAAACATGCAATGTGGAACAATGCTTAGCCTTCGATTCATTGGCCTATTTGTCGGTTCAGACCCTTTAGAAGTGAGAAAAGCTTCACAATGTGGATATTTTTCAAGAGCATGAAGGAGCTTAGAAGAACCTAACAATATTCATGTATATGTGCGCTGAACAAGACAATCATGTCTATAGACATTAGGACAGGCATAGGAAAATTAATAAAAAAAAAAGACTAAATTTAAAATGGTGACATTTTACCAACAGAATCTGGAGGACTGAACTGTTGTTTAATTAACGTAGCTGAAACATAAATGAGAAAACTTTGATTTTATTGTATTCTGTGTAAGCCAAAATTTAACGAGTTTTAAGGAAAAGAACTGATGAGCTCCTCAACAAAATAGTTAGTCAAATATGTGTTTTTCTATCAGACACATGAAGCTCAGAATGAGTGTCTGTGAGCCTGGGTGCAGGGGCGCAACTACATATTTTTGAGGTGGATGCGAACACATCATCGGCGCCCCCCCCCCCCCGCTCCTTTTTACTTGCCGCCTCATACAGCTTAGTCATGCACTTAGAAAATACAGTAGTAATATTACAGATTTTTTTAATGTTACATATTATATCAGGTGATCATTTCAATCATAAACAAATAAGAAGTTTTATAAAGTACAAATATATAACAGTAGTGGTACTCAGTCAGTGCTCAACATTTTATGTAGCGGAAATATGACATCTTAACAGCCTGGAGTCCATGTCAGAGTTTTAACATTTATGACATTTAAACTGTTACATTCCGTGACTTTGCATTTGCCCATTTGTCAAGTATAACATCAAATGAAATAGACCGTGCCACACTGTTTTCAATAGAGATCACTGCTAACTGGGACAAGCGATCATTGCTCATATTTGAACGAAGGTATGTTTTGATGAGCTTCAGCTTGCTAAATGATCTCTCTGCAGATGCAACTGTCAGAGGCATGGTTAAAAATACTCTAAGGGCTACTGTCAAATTTGGAAATACCAAATCAAGGTCCTCTTGAATTAGGAAATTTAACTTTTCTAGAGCCTTGTAACCCTTCAGTAGACGGCTTGCTGGGTATATTTCTTGAATGATATCTCTTGAAACATCACAAGTGGTCAGGGCATATGTGGTCACTGATTCCTCCAGCTCAGCTTTTGTCATGTGCTCCATTTTAGTGATGAATTTAAATTTCTCAGACACAAGTTGAAAATTGGAAAACCTCTCAGACAGCTCTTGGAGGAGTGTGTCAACAATAACATTGAAAACCATGCACCTGAAGTGCCTTGTGGGTTCCTTTTCATGATGACCAGTGCATGAATTGTCATCTGGGAAATTCTTTTGCTTCCTAAGTCGTTTCTCTTTGAACTTAGGAGAAGCATCCATTTCGATGGCTATTTTGCTTGCAATGTCAAGTGACTTCCTTTTTCTGTTTTGCGCCCCGGATAGCTTTTTTTTCTGCCGCTCCATCTTGTTGTCAAGTGCACAACGAGCGGTAGTTCAAGATTAAAAAAAAAAAAAAAAA